TCTTTGACCTGCTCTTCTTCCATTTTATAATCCAGTAAGAATTTATAAATTTTCTTTACCAATTTATCATTTGTCCCCAGAAAGATCTTGTCATTAATTCCCTGCTAATGCCCCTCTTTTTCATGTCTTTCAAGTAATGTGATTGGATCTGTAAATAGGACCACCATTCCATGCATCTTGGCAACTATTGTTATCATGTGCTTGCAGCTGAAAGGGATTTTCTCCAGCCTGGCTGGCTGTGATGACTTGGTGGATGGTCTAGGATTGTTGACAACCCATTTCCTCTTGGAGCGCCCTCTTAAGAGGATGAGGTCTTGGTTTAAATTCCCACTTTGAGCAGATGTGGGAGTAACTCCCTGGGCAGGACTGATTGGGTGGATGCAATCAGTTTTGGTTCCTTTCCTCTGCAGTTCAATCTGTGTGACTTGAAGTAACTTCCTGAGAAGCACTGATTGGGTGGATGCAATCAGTTTTGGTTCCTCTCCTCTGCAATTTAATCTGTGTGGCTTGCAGATCTTCCCTGTGGAATAGGCCCAGTGTAGCTGTAATTCACCGGACGTGGATACCAAACCGTTACCTAGTTATGTATGCGTCTCTCTCTTTCTCTCTCCCCTGGGACTAACCGTGATCCTCTCCACTCCTCTCTTCTCTCCATTAGAAATGGAAACATTACTGAAAATGAGCAGATGTCCACAAGATCCAGACCGATATTTCCTGTGTGCAAATGAGGTAGGGGCCATGCCTAGCATTCCTTAAACCAATATTTTATTCCTCATGTTCCCATCCACTTGAAACCAGGGCCAGTGACCAGGAGACGCTGGAATGGAAGAGATCAGTCCTTAGAGGCCACCAGAAGTAGTGTCTGTTTCAGAATGCTGAGCGTTGTTCCTCCTAGTGGGGAGAAATTCAGATGTGGGGTATCAGACGGATGGAAATCCCTGGCAGGTGTGTGTGTGGGGGGGTCCTTTTCACTGGCTACTTTGCAGAGAGGTTGATGGGGCAAGTAGGTATTGAGGGACCAGGATGGGGGGGATGAGCTCTCTTGATCGCAGTGGAGAAATGCTCCACAGGGAAGCCAAAGGGAGAAATGGAGTTAGTTTTCTGAAAGCCATGGGCAGTATCCCTCGTAAACAGGCTGCTCAGTGTTGCACAGCAAGATGGGAGGGAGTAAAAAAGCGGGGAAATACACCTCTAATGAGACTTTCTAGAAGCAGGGGAGGGAGAGAGAACACCTGAAAACAAAATGTCTCCAGAGAACTGAGGCATTGTTGCTGCTAGAACAGCACTCCTGGGTTCTGATCTCAGTTTGACACGAGGTGTGCTTGTGTGAGAAAATGCAAAGCATTTGGACCCACTAATAGGAAAGGATTATTCTGAGGTTGGAAGATATGACAGAGGGAATGTTTGTTCATGGGCTTCTTCCATTATTATAAGGACTGCCAAGAAAGAATAAATGTCTTTTGCTGCTGCTGTATTGAGCCTTCAATCCCAATTCAAGAATCTCTTGGTGAGATTAAACTAAATAAATTTAAGGAAAACAGCATGTTATAGCAGTTATATGGACAGGTCTTGATGGAAGACTTCATTTTAAATCATAATTCAGCTGCTGAATCATATGCTTGGCATCTGCAGATCTCTTTTCAGCTCCAGTTATTCTATTTGTAAAGGGGAAACAGAAATATTCATTGTCTTATAGAATATGGAAAAATGGAGATGATGACTGCAAAAAGTACTTAAGAAGTGCTATATAAATGATAGCCAGTCACTAAGCAAGTCACTCATCTGAAGAAATGTATTCACTACTATCAGGAGCAGCACCAAAATCTTGTTGCATGGAGTACTTATGTGGAAGAATTCCAGATATATTTTAGAAGTAGCAGTGTGTGTGTGTGTGTGTGTGATTTGACTGGTACTTCAGATTTAGCAATGGACTATTTGTTTTTCCATAAAATACTGCTCAGATTAGTCCCACTCCTAATATTTGGAGGAATGTGTGACAAGTCAGATCCTTTGAATCAAAGTAGGTCTGTTCTTCTGTAGAAGAGTTTTTATTTTGGAGAAAAAAGTAGGCAAAATTTCAGTTCGAGGTCAGGAAAAAAGGGAAAGTTTAAGTGACAATATAAAATCAAAACCAAAATGGCTTTTATTCACTCCAGTCCCACTGACCTCTATGGCTTTAGGTGGTGGATTTCTATTTTCAGCCCACAGTTCAATTTGGTGATTGTGGTAAACATCTTTTGGATACACTTGGAACCAGGTTAAATTATGGAAGAGAGATTAATATGATTCAAAGATCTATAAGAAAACAGATTTCAGAAGATATATAATCTAAGAAGAGGTTCCACTATATAAAATGTGCAATTGTACTACAATTGTATCACCAAGAACAAAAAACAACAAACACTGAAGCCCATAAGGGCATGACTTTAGATATTTAATATCCTAATATCTTGTTGACCATGACTAATTTTGGGGGGGAAAAAATCAAATTTAGACCTGGTTAGTCCTTGAAGAGGACACCACCCAGGACTGTTTGCTAGACTAGAAAGTTGAAAAAACATCCTGGAAGAAGTTTGCCTATGGTAAACCAATACTATTGCCACAAAAAGAGTACGAATATGTTGCATTGTCACCAAGAGCCAAAATTAAATTGGAGGACTCTATTTTAGACTCTACAAGAAATCTGTACCAGCTTGTACCATAAAGAAATAGAGCTCTTACTATAAAAGATCTGGCTCAAATTCTCAAGTTCTCTGTGTTGCATTAGTATAGCACTATAAAACAGTGGTGAAATCTAAAATTTGTTACTACTGGTTCTGTGGGCGTGGCTTGGTGGGGAGGGTAATGTGATTGGGTGGGCATGGCCAATTTTTTTTACTTTTAAAACCATTTTTTTGAAAAAAAAATGCTTTCAAATGCTCTGCCGATCAGGCAACTCAGCTGGGATCGTCAGAGGCATTTAAAAGAAAAAAAGAGGTTTTTTTTCTTTTAAAAGCTTTTGATGATCCCAGCTGAGCTGCACGATCATCAGAGACTTTTTTTTTTTACTTTTAAAAGCATTTTTTCAGCCGAAGAGGTTATAGAAAAAATGCTTTTAAAAGTAAAAAAAAAAAAGCCTCTGATGATTGTGCAGCTCAGCTGGGGAGTGCCAAGGATTTTTGCTACCGGTTCTCCGAACCACCCGCCTCCATCACTCCATCGTGATCCGGTCCAAACCGGGAGGATTTCACCCCTGCTATAAAGGCTCTAGATCATAACCAGACTAGCTCCTTTATAAAGAAGAAAAGGATAAGAGATGGAGGGAAGGACAAATTTGAAGCTACTCTACAATCTTATACTTGCCTAGAAGCAAATTTGATTGAACACAACATGACTTTAAGTAAAATTCAAAGGATTACACTAAGTAAAACCTTTGCCCAGTTTGAAATATGTTAAGTATTGTTGTTAATTATGCCTCAACAAGTCTAACTTCAATTCTACAATTATTCTTATGCCTGCTCATTGACTTCAATTGCAAGAAGCAATGCATTGGGAACACACAGGCCCTGAAATGAAGTCTACCTGCAGGTTTCTGAGACACCAGCTGTTTAACTAGAGTACCATTCTGCAATTCAGTTAACATTACTTTTAAAGCCAAATGAAAAGGGGACAATGTTATTTTTTTTTAAAAAAAGCCAACACTTTCCTATTGCCAGGATAAAATACATCTTGCAACTTTCAGAGTTTTTGTAAGTTCAAATTCTATGTGAGTTGTGTGAGTTAACAGAGAACATTATCAAACACCATAGCAAATGCTCCAGCTAAGAAAGGCTACATGGCTCTTTTCTGTGTCCATTTTTCCAGAAAGCAGCAGAATGGGACCTTGCATGAACAAACTCCTTCTTTGGTTTAATCCCCAAATCTCCAAGAAGGGCTACAAAAATCTCTGCAGGCAAGTAAACCTCGATGGGAATTATAATGCCACAAGGTAGCAGAAGGGTTGGGTCAGTGATAAAGCAGCAATGCCTTGCTCTGGAGCTAGAGCCTAGTTGAATCAAAATGCAAGGATGGGATAGATGACTAGTTTTGCTGTGCCACTCACTATGAGAACCTGTTTTAAAAACCGTGAGATCCAATTCAATGGGAAGGGTACCTGAGGCTCGTGTTCATCCCTGGAGTGGATGTAGCATTTGCTCAAACGGTTCTCTTTAATGAAAGGAAGTGGGGGGGAGAGAGAACGAGGAAGTCGCCGTAGGGTGGCCCCATCACGTGAGGGTTCTCTTGGGGCAACTGAGCGAACCCCTCCACTAGGGCGGCCTTTGTGTCTCCCCGAGAACGCCATGCCGCCAGGGGAAGAGCGGAGGCGTGCTTGCAAATGCGTCTTGAACTCGCCTTCGGGCTGCTTTCCAGGCAGGCCCGGCCCCGGTCCTTTTGCAGCCCCGCTTGCAGTGCCGAGCATCCTTGCCGCTCTTGCAATGGACGCCGACGGGCAATTCATGGCCGCACTTGCTGCGTCTGAATGTGGCGCTCCAGCTTCTCCTTCAGGCTTGCCGGGACCCTATTGGAGTCCTTCTCCCCGCATTCGTTCCCCCCCCCCACCACCACACACACTCCGCTTTTTTGGGCACAATCCTCCCCCCCCCGCCTTGCCTTCCCCTAAATGGCGTCTTGCTTGGTTCTATCGCCTTCCCGCAACGCTAATGCTCCGAAGACACCCGGGGCATCTGAAGAGAAGGGAAAGGAGGGCACTGGTGGACCGGGCGGGGTGAAGCTCTCCCGAGCATTAGGCTCTAACATTAACCCTCCCCTGTCGGCTTTTCCTCTGCGAGGTGGAGGGTTCTAAAGAAGCGGGGAGGGGCGCGGCTAAGCGATGGATTGTATCCACCAACCAATGACTGCGGGGTTCATAAAAGCTTCTGGCCCGGTAGGCCGGGGGGGGGACACAAAAAGGCTGAAGGGGGCGAAGAGGCGAGGCCAGCTGCCGCGCCCCCCATGGACTAGCGCCTTGCCTGAGCCTAAGACAGGCCTCGAGGGGGGCTGGGAGGAAGAGCACCCGCCCATCCCCCTCCTCCCCCCTCGTCAATATCTCTGGGTGTAAATAGTCAAGGGCGTTTAAAGGAGCATTGTGTGCTCCTTCGCGGGTCGGTCGCCTGCGTCTGTCCCTCCTCCGTTTTTTCACTCTATTCCTTTTCCTTTAAATTTTTTTTCCTTTAAAAATCCACCCAAATCTGTTTTTTCTCTTCTCCTCCTCCCGCGTTTTTTCTTTTTCTTTCCCAGATATTTGTCACGCTTTCCTACATCCCGCTTTGACGCCTGCGATTTCCCTTTAGCTTCGGTTCCTTCCTTCATTCCTTCCTCCCTTCATTCCTCTCCTCCCTTCCCTCCCTCCCTCCCTTCACCCCAAGAAGGGAATTGGTTTGGTCAAGAGCGGGTTTCTTTCCGTTACCGCGCAACCATTTTTATTCTCTTTCTTCCCCTCCGCACGGGCGGACCCCCCTTTTGTATGCGCCACTGCAGCTGGGGGGGTCCAGATCACCATCGATCGGGAAGGCAGAGCGACCCCTCCCGCACGCGGGACCAATCCGTTCCGACCCGCCCCACCCGGGGAGGACGAAGAAGCCCGATTGTACGGCAGTCCACGTCCTCCGAGGAGCCGCCGCTGCCCGGCTGGACCCCGGCGCTCCCCCAGCATGGTCACTGTAGGTATTTCGCGTTTCCGTCATTCCTGTATAAGCCTTCGGTTTCGATTGGGGTCCCACCCCACGATGGGGCTCTTTGGCCTGGAAGGACGAGGGAAAGCGAGATCTTGGGGGTGGCGGAAAGGGCGAGCAGATTCGCATCCCCTCCCTGTCTTTAGGCGAGGTGGGCTTTGAGAGGTACAGCATAAATCCCCCCCCCGTGATCCCCTACCCGCGATGAAAGGCGCAGATGTGCTTGGGGAATTCACACCCACACCTGAGTCGGGCTGCGTCGGGTGGGTTGGGAAGGGCGAGCGCGGATCCTGGTGGAACTGATGGCGTGTGAACGCAAGCCGGAACGATCGCTTCCATTCTAAGGCTACGCGACGGGGTCGGCTAGTTGCAGGCTTTTCTTTCCGTGCTGGGGGGTGGGGAAGGATGAATGGTTATGCGGATAAAATAATCATCCATTCACTTCTCCACCCATCGTGGTCGAGGTCACTCCGGAAGGAAAGAGAAAGGACATCTCTCCCCCCACCCCCGCCGCGAGCACCAAGCCCCCATTGACGCCTAATCAGGCGGCGTGAAATTCGGACTAGGGTGTGTCTCTCCTCCTGTCTCTGCGTGTTTTCAGGGGGAGGGGGAGAAAGACAGCCGAGATCTTTGGGGGAGGGTCTCTTTGGGAGGGGTGCCCAAGGAGACCTTGCCCCAGCCGGCTGCGCATTTCCGCAGAGCTTCGAAGGGTCATTTTGTGCACCTTCTTCGCCTTGGGCTGTCCGCACATCCCCGGCGGGCAACCGCTTGTGCCTTGCGCCCGTCGGGATCCTGCAGGTGAGGCGCTTTCTCTGCGGGATCGGAGCGCCTCGGCTTGCCTGGATAGAGAGGCGGCTGCCCGCGGAAGTGGGGGCTGGAGGGGGGCCTTTTCCAGTCTCAGTCACCGACGCGCATCTTCAGGCGTCAAGGCGCAGCTAACGGCCGACACCTTCGGCGCATTGGAGCGGGGGCGGGACGGGAAAGAGACTTGGAGTTGAGATACAGGGAATGGGGAAAGAGGCTGCCAGAATCGATCCCGTTGCAACGTGCCTCGGTCTAGAACCTGCATCTCTACGCTGCCGCCGCCCCTACCCTCCGTAGAAGAGACAAGAGTGGAGAAGGACGCGGTGCTCCCTCCCGACGCGTTGCATGTCGCGGTGTACTTGCAAATGCCAGCCCTTTTCCTTTGCGAAGCCCCCCCTCCCCCGCCGTTTCTGCTTAGCGTAGATGGTCCCATTTCGTCAGCCCCACCCCACAAGCTAGAGAGAGTCTGCCGACAGGAGCATTGCAACTGAACAATAGGAGCTGGCAGCAGCCTAGGGGAGAGGTCGAAGTGCCTCCTCCGCGCCCATTCGGCTTGCACTATACTATTGCAAATGCTCATCCCCTGGCTGTGAAGAGGAGGAATGAGGCGGGAGGAGGGGGTGGAAAGGTGAAAGAAGGGATGGGAAGGAAGAAATGTGTAGATCTGAGATGGAGAAAAACCCGGTGCGTTGTGTTGTGATGTTGGGAGCCACGGAGGGCAGGTGGCAAGATCTGAATGGCTTTGGGGGTGCAAGAGGGAAGCCTGGCAGACTGGGTGGATGCAAAATGACCAATTTTCTCCCTTTGCAAGAGGCAAGATGAACACTTTCTGGAAATCCTTGAGGCAAGAGAAACAGACCCTTTTAACACAAAGCCACATTGACCTTGTCGCAATTGTTCTGGGTGTTTCCCCCCCCCTTCCTTGCCGCATTGTATACCCCACCCTTTGGAAATAGGGCTTCCTGAGAAAGGGGGGGGGTCTGGTGGTGGGGTCTAACGTGGATGTGGGTTCCCTTTTCTGAAAGAGCTGCCTGCCTTGTGCTGGGAGAGGGAAGTAGAGAGAAAAGCCAGAGGGTCAGCAATGCAGCAGAGAGCTGGTAAACCAGAGATGGAGAGGAAACTGGATTCTTCAAGTTATAAGCAGAAGGATGGGGTGTGTGCTGGAGCGGGGAGGACTGTGGGGCTTTTGCAGGCAACGTGGGGGGGGAGTGCCTTTGCTGTACAGTTGCTTTGATTTAGCAGAAGGGGGCAGGTAGGCTATTCCATTCATTATTGTAGGTCCCCACCTCTCTCATTGGCAAGGAAAACCCAGATTTTTCTCTTTTACCACCCTCCATTAAGTTGTAAAGGGGTGAGAAACAATGACTGAGTGATGCTGCATCAACACAGGTAAAGAGAAGAAGGCTATTTTCTTCCAAAATGGGGCTGATAGAATCACTAACGTGTGACTTGAAATGGCCCTGTTGAACTGCTTGGATTTATGTTAGATCAATCAGAATAGAGCTGGAAGGGATCTTGGAGGTCATCTAGTCCAGCCCTCTGCTCAAGCAGGAGACCCTAAACCATTTCAGATAAGTTAAAATTCAGATGAAATTGTGCAGGTCACAGATAACACTTGAGGTAGAAAAATTACAGAATAACATTCAGTTTAGTCTATAAGATGCTGTATCTTTCTTTACCATTGTAACAGCAATAAAATTACTTACCTGAAATTTAATCTAGACATCCTTACAGTTGTGGGCTGATCCTCCTAACAAGCTGGGAGAGTTGCTTTCCATTTTGCAAAAAGGTTGCAAAATGAGGTTGGGTTGAATTTGAACTCTGGACAGAGGCAATATATAGTCCATCCAAACAAAATAATTCTGTTTGGATTCTAACAGTGGCTTTGTTATGTGGTTGAATGAAACTGAGCTGACAGGTTTTACTCCCTGAGCTTGGTAGTGCTGTGATAAGAAACATGGATGACAGAGAATGGGTCATCCATACTGAACAGCATTTAAATGTTTTAAATGGACCCCAATACATTTTGTGGGAAGAAAGCCATGTTAATCTATAGCAGCCAAAAAACAGGAGGAAACTGGCAGCACCTATTCAGGGCTAACAAATTTTATTGAAAAGCATCAGTTTTTTGACTCCATTTGATCTACTGAAGAGAGCAGCAGCTCACAAAAGCTTATGCCTATTTAATATAACTTGTACGTTTGAAAAGGTATTACCAGTCACCTTTTAATACATGATTCTTTGAATGGGAATGAAGGTTAGTGTGTCTTTCTGTTTCCCTTCTCCCAGTTATATTTTTTTTCAATCGGTCCCTTTAATTCTAGGTTTTTTTCCCCTTCTACATCTATCTTCCCATATCTCACCAAACCAAAGTTTTTGGTAAATACCACTTAATTTTACTTAATTTTACTGTCAGACAAGTTTTGCATCATTCAGGATGAGAAACAGGAGCATGAAAATGAGGTGAAAATGTTTTTGGTAGGCAGCTGAGCTGACACAGGAGGCCACTAGGATCTTCTGGTCAAAAATACTGGGTTCAACAGTGTCCTCTTTTAGCTTCTAGGGTGTGTGTGCATTAGTTACAGGAAGGATATCTTTACTGGGTTTGAGCGGGAAGTTACAAGCTTAGGCCTCAGCTTTAAAATGAGCTTGGTAACAGGAAATTGGACCTTTGGGGTTCTATATATTCTTCGAGACAAAAGGAAGTAGGACTCCTGGGTCCCATTAGTTAATATGCACAGCTTGGGGTGGGTGGGATCAAACAGCTGTCAGGCTTTACCAATAGGTGTGGCTGAGGCCAGAGCCTCTCCCTGTGGGGAAGAATGCTATTCTTACTCATCTAATTTCTAGCAGCATGCTGCTTTTTCCCCTAGAATGATCTAAAGAGAACCAAAAAATGATCATTAGTATTGCTAAAAATGCGGCTATCAACAAGGGCTTAAAGGGGTGTGATTTCTATTGCTTAAAGAGTCTGATTTCTTTTTCTGGTGCAATACCTTGAATCTTTTTTAAAGAGGACATTCTCAAAAGATTCTTAGTCTTCAAAACTAATGGCAACCCCCTTCATTTGAGCATCCAGAGCATTACTCGGTCTCCCAATTTTTGTTCAAATTGAAAACTTCATTCAAAATAGTTCATTAAAAATGGTTGTGACTTCAGTGCCAGCTGCTGAATTCTTCTCCCCTTATTTTTTCCCCTGCTGCACTATCTGGCTTTACAAAAAAACTGAAGGAGCAGAAAGTTTCCATACTCTCTGCTATTTGGAAAACTTATCGCTTAGATTCTCATCATATTCCACCTCCTCCTGGTGTTTCTCATATCTTTGGATAGCATGATGGATGGTATATAAATTTAATAAAGGAAATAATGCTTTCCAAAAAAACCTCCGAAGTACATGTTTACACAACCCTGCCCCCAGGTCAGTGAGCAGCATTCTGTAGGAAACCTTGAGTGCAGATACTTGTACAAAATAATGAATGAATGATAATCCTGCAAGTAAAATAACAAACAGTGCTGCATGGGGCGGGGGAGGGGGAGATTGTGCTTATTGTGACCAAGGTGAAACGACTTCAATCCTTGGAAGTCCTTAGTTGAAAATGCAGTTAAGCTAACAGGACAAGTGAAAGTGCCTAGGCATAGGACTGCATTGTGAATTCCATGAGTACTTTGGCCTCTCTCTTAGCATTCTGAAAAGTGCTGGGCAAAAATGATTGTTTTTACTTGTTCTGGTATAAGTCAGTCTCTGGCTTCTGACATATTCCCTTGGGAGGTGGGGTGGCCTCTGGGGAGCAGAAAAGACCCAACAGAACCACATGGTATTTGTTGAGGTCAGCTCCAAGATTCATTTGGCTGTCTCACAGTTAAAACTGAAGAATGCTCCTTGAGGCACATTATGATCAGCTCTGCTTCTAGTACACTTAATTTAGAATGATAGTTGTGCATTTTTGAGTTTTCCCCATTAAAGCGTATGCTGTTTTTCACCATTGGTTTCTTATGGACATATATTTCTGCCTATTGATTGTACTTCATAAGTCTTCTGAGAAGCTTTCCCACCCTAAATAGATATTTCCTCATTTCAAATCATTCCTGTACCCGGTCAGTTACAGCTTTTAGCATCTATACTGTAACAAATGGAGCAATTTATTTTGAATTGATGTGCTGATTTGCAACTCATAAATTGTATA